TAAGCTTAAATGTCCTGTTACCCCAACTAAATGTCTAAATATCATCTTTAAAAATTGTATCTTAGGACTGAAAAGACACAGTCATCAGGATAGCAAATTATATCTTTAAGAAAATGAATGCAACTGTAAGTTATCAAGGTAGGAAAATAAACCAGACTCAGGAAGTCAAATGGATAAGTGCAATGTTTTATTTCAGATTGAGAACATAGATTTAAGTATATGTACCTATTTATGACAAGAAAACAGAAGAAAGGGACCAAAGGAAAGGAGAGAGAGAAGCAAGGGATTATAGCTGGAAATTAATATAAGCAAAACACATGATATGGATGTGTGAGTATGTTGTGAGTCCCGTTATTTTGTATGCTAATTAAAACATGGCTAATCATACTAGACTTTGTATATAATGAGCACAGAATATATCCAGTATCTCAACCAGTATATATAGAGAGTCTGACATGAACCAGTTGCTCTTATGTGTATAATAACTATAAACTAATTTTTGCTCTTTTTTTTGAGACAGGTTTTCTCTGCAACTTCTCCATTTGGGGTGCTCTGCCCTAGATATCTATCTGGGTGTCTTGTTTTCCCTATTTTCAATAACCATTTTTCCATCACTCTCTGCCACCTTACCCAATTTTCTTCATAAAACTTACAATCATGTGACATTAAATACTTGTGTGTTTTCTTCTGGAGAACAGGAACTCATGTAACCCAAACTGACCTCAAAACATGCAATCTTCCTACTTCAGTCTCCTAAGTATAGGAGTAACTGGTATGTCCCTGTACATTTTCTATTGCCTGTTTTCCACTTTGCTATTAAAATAAACTCCATAAAGGACTCTATGGTTGTATCCTCTAGGAAAGGTTCTCCTGTACAGTAAACATTTTTAAAAAGACACTTGTTAACTTCCATCAAGATGTACCCACTTGTTTTGTAGTGGCACTTCAGTTATAGATGTAACAAACAACTCTTCAGCTGGATTTGAGACTTGATCCATAGGAGGGAAGCCATTCCTGGTACTACAAACTTGAACAAAGAACACTCTCTGGGGAGGGGATCAATGACCCTAGCAAGAAAGTTGGATGTTATGATTTAGCTAAGTTTTCATAGCAGCAAGCTGTCTTGTAAATATTTATATCATACCCATAGACAAATGTTGCTCTTATCCTTAATCACAGAAGTTTTTTTTTTTTTTTTTTGCAATGAATGGTGTTGAGTGAAGAGACTCATGAACACAAGGTGCTGGGAACAAGTGATGGATGAATGCTCAGCTATAAACATTTATAGCACTCCCTTAAGACACAGAACACTATGAAAGAGGGACTAGAAAGAGTGTTAGGGCCAGAAGATTGAGAGGAGGGATGTGAAATGTTGTCGTCTGGGTAAGAAGACATAGCCATTTTAATCATAGACGCACAATAGCTGTTTGCACTGGGGCTGCACAGACTAGGGCTAGTAACAAAAGTGAAACACAGATAGAGGAATGCCTCATAGTTCCCTGCCCTTCATTGCTAAACTGTTTGCTACTGACAGAGGTAGTAATTGCCTTCAGTTATGTGCCCAGCAAGCTCAAATAGATCAAATCTAATTGTTCACATAGATGGCCTGGGTTAAACTAAATGAATCACAAAACAAAACCAAAACTCACATATCTTATAAAGGGACTGGTAGTGGGTAAAGGACATTGGAAGGAAATAAGAAGGAGTATAGGGAGAAAGTAATCAGTATACATTATACACTTAAATGATATTGTCAAAGAACAAAATTAGTCAGTAAAAACATAAAAAGCACATGTAGAATAAATGAATACCATATGCTTACCTTAAGTACCAGAATTTTGAGTATCTACTCTAGGAAATATTTGTGAGTTTGAAAATGGTGACCTCTAATACTCAATTTCACATGTAGCCTACACTGTGTGTATCCCCCCCTCTCTCTCCATTACTCTAAACTGTCAGTAAACCTTGCCTACATACATTGTTGTAGGGATGCTTGGAGGCAATAAATTACTCTACTTTGGGAGTGACAGTGCCCTGGGAGAGCATCCGCTGCTAGAATTCATGAGAGCCAGGAAACCTGTCATAATGGGCACTGCTCATTTATAGAGAAAGGATGTCTCTCTTGACAGACTTAGGAAATGTAAAGATTAGAGCTCCTATAGAACGTGAGCTCATGTCATTCTATAGAATTAGAAGAAAGGGTGACCCCACAGTTCTGAGGAAACCTCTGAATGGTACAGGATGAAAGTTGCATTGCCTTATTCTGAAGATGCATTTTCAGAAGTATTGAGAACTGTGTCACCGTTTGGCAGATCTGGGGGCAGAAGTGTATTGCTGGAGATTCTTTCCCACCAGGTCCCACTGCCGCTTCAGACCCAAATAAACACATGGATGCTATATTAATTATAAAATGTTGGCTGCTAGCTAGGGCTTCTTACTGGCTTGTTCTGTCTTAATTATTAACCCATTTCTATAATCTAAGTATATCCACGTGATCTTGGCTTACTGGAGAATGCCCGGACCTGTTACTCCTTTAACAGCTACATGGCATCTCTCTGCCTACCTTTCCCAAAATTCTCCTCATCTCCTAGTCCCGCCTATCTTCCTGCCTCTATTGGCCAAACAGTGTTTTATTCATCAACCAATAAGAGAAACATATATACAGAAGGACATCCCCCATCAGAGGTCAGCATTGAGAAGACTCTGCTGTCTCCTATGTGAACTGTAAGAAACAAGATGCCTGCTTAGCCACCTACATGGCCAAGTCTGGTGGGGTTCCAGGTGAACTCTAAAGGTCCCTGGCACTACCAAAGGCTGCACCACTTCTAGCTGGGCTCATTGCTGAGTACAAATACCCTAAATCATGTGTCCTGCCTCTTGTTTTCTAGGTCACTTGTGACCTATCACATTAGGTAAGAAAAAGAGCCCCTAAGGTAGAACTTCTACTCAGGTACCTTTAAATATATATAATTTCACACATGGCCTCTCCCCTTCTTTTGATTAGGACTAGGAAATATCTAAGCCTTAGCCCACAAAGGCAAGCATCTACTTTGGTTTTGAGGGGGCTAGGCTTCCCCCTCTATTTCCTTCTTCTGAAAGTGCCTCAGAATAGATACTCTTCTGATGATGGCCACAGGAAAGCTCTTTCCTGTTAAGCTGTGGTAAGTCAAAACCTACTTCAGAGAACACAAAGCCACCAGTCTGAGGGGCTAAGAAAAGAATGGGTGTTGTGTGCTGTTAGATGTTAGAAAAGAAAACCTCAAACCATTGAACTAGAAGTGACTTTTCTATGTAGATCTGTGTTGAACTTTGTCTTTAATCATCTTTCGTTAAGAAACAATGGGAGATCCCATTTTCAATGAATACCTTCAAAAGTGTTTTGGTTTTAATATTACTTGTGTTTTAAATTAGAGAAAAAAATTCAAGGTTTTTAAAGGTATTGTTAGCATCTTTTTACTGGAACTAATACTATACTTGATCTTCACCAAAAGGCCAAGAATCAGAATACTTAAAGTGTAGTGATCTATTAATATAACCCCAAAGGGACCCTCGAGAGATGGATACCAGAGCAGCTTGACTGTTACATTATAACATCCACCAATTCTCAAGATGCCTGTGCCTCCATACTTACTTCTTTGCTCTAGTATGATTGTCTAGAAATGCTCATTGACAAAGAGAATAAAAATATCCAGAAAATGTTCCATGATCCTTGCAACAAGCATCTTTGATGACTGAAGGCCAAAATATAAGGAAAAAGATGAAGGGGATTTCATCACAATGACTAGAAAGGCAAATCTACAACCAAAAGACCAAATACCTCCCAGACATTCTCCTTGAAGTAACCCACCCACCCAAAGCAGATGTCAGATAGAAGAGCCTGAAGATAAAAGTTGATACTTTCCAACCTGAGATTTTGATTTTGTCCCTCAGTTTATTCAGGAAACATTTACCAACTCTTTTGAATAACAGCTTGGGTTCTGTTGACTTGGCACTTTCCCTTCTTCCTCCCATATTTTATTTCTGGAAATGTCAGGTAACTAATAATATCTTTCTTGTTTACAGTGTTAGGGGTTGAGGTGTGTTTCAGTTTTCTTTTTAACTTTTCCTCCTATCTGTGGCTTCAAACCCCCCTTGGATAATCTATTACACATACATATTAAAGAGGCTGCACATATATTACACATATATCAATTCTTTTCTGCACATCAGAGGGCAAGTGATCTACCAGACTGCAAAGTGAGCTAAGAACAAGAACAAAGATCAACTCCAGGCTTCTTTTTTTCTACTACAAAGCATGTATCTTTTCTACTTTGCCATGACTCTAACCCCAGAGAAGATGAGTTGCCATCAAATATGTGGAAATTTGGGTCAGCTTAATGTTGGCCATAATGGTGGTAAACAAAACTCAGGGTAATGTGAGGTCCAGAGGAGAGCAGATAGAGAGAAAAGACAAGAAACTGATGAAGATGGAAGAATTTGCCACACAGCTCTACTCACCTTTGTAAATCTTTCTCAGAATGCTCCAAAGCCATTATGAATGAAGAAACCATGGAGAAAAGAAACAATAAGCACATCTCGCTGATTTCCAAACACTATATCCTTAATACTTTTCTATATTCTGCAATACAATTTTTATTTGTCTTTTTTCACTAAGATTCACAAAATATATATATATATATATACTAGTTCTATTAAAGGAAAACAGCATAAGTAGCTGGTAATAAAAAAATTTTGAAGACTATTAGAGTTTATTGCCAAGAAACATTCAGATATCCACCACCAAATGTAACACATATGTTTCTAATATGTACTTTGTAATGCACACATTCTATTTATATGACTCTCTAGAATCTGTCTGTCTGCTCTCTCATACATACAAACACACACAGACACCATTGCACTGGAGACACACATGCCATTGCACTGGAGACACACATGCCATTGCACTGGAGATACACATGCTGTGTAAGGAATGATCTGTGCTTCAAACATCCCTCTTAGTTCTCTGTTAGCATCAAAGGTTGGCTCAGAAAACACCCGTTAAAAGTAAAGATGATGCCAATGAGACATTGGCCTCTTTCAGTCTCTAGCTTATCAGTCAAACCTGGCCCCCTTTTCCCATGCCTTGTATATTCAGATCATAACCATGTGTCTGAAAGATGGCCTCCTCTGAGGTAGCAAGTAGACCCACCCTGAAAGGTGAGTTTAAAAGTGTCCTCTTCAATGGCTAAAATGCTCTTGGCCATTTTTAGCATCAGACAGTTCCTTCTCTGTGCCTCTGCATCATCACATGGCAGCCCAAAGCTTTATGTTCCTTGGCCACAGTTCTCCTTCCATCTAGCTCACGATGGAGGCATTAAGGACCACTCTGGGAAATGAAGGAAAGTTGACCTGTTGAACCTTGTGATCATGAGGTCTTTGTGGCTCATTTTGTCTTGATTAATCTCAATTGGTCTTAAAAAGACACTCATTCAAGACAATATTCCCAGTACCCATAAAACGGAATAATGGATAATTCTAAAGTGCTTTTTCTGTTAAAGCTTATATAAGCCAAAAAATGTCTTAGATTCGTCAAAATTAATCAGAGAGAGTTGAGAGATGTTGACGTATAAATGGTCAGCACTGGTAAGATTGAATACTGCCCCCAGATAGCTGCTGTGGGCCCACATCTGGCCAGGAGTGCAGTAGTTCAACTTCTTCTCCTCCATTAACACCAGATCCCCAAGATACTTAGAGTTCCTCATGTAGACCTTGTGACTTAAGGGCTGATTGGTGCAAGAATGACCCCGGAAGTATACTTTGGAATATACAAAGTACAAGCCAGGGACATTGATCACAAGGCCACCTTTCTTATACTTCACTCCAGAGATCAGAGCAGTTCCATATGTGTCTTCCCACTCCAGAAGGACAGACCTTGAGCTGGGGTTGCCTGAAATAAACCAGAGAAGAACTTTCAGCCAGAAGGTCTCCCACATCTGATGGGCTAAGATTCCAAGGGAAAACTCTGGGCCCTTCCTTAACAAAAGCTCTATCCAGAAGGACAGCCAATCAGGGGTCAAAGCATGGTCCACCCCAGAGTTTCTTCAACACCTTTGTCAAATTGTCCACCCTAATTTAATCATCCATGTGATTGGGACAAATTTAGTGTGTGTCTCTGATTGATCTCAGGGAAGACTATTAGGATAATTTCAGTTCTCTGGAACAAACATTTTATGATCTAAACTAGTACCAACACCGCTGAGCTTGGGCATCCCTCCATAAAGAGAATGATCTCCAGAGTTCTACATCTGGACAAAATCTCATGGTTATGTGGTCCACTTCCTTGTTTAGTTTGGATTCCTTGGCCTCTTATTTTGGGCTAATCCCCTTCCATTTTGTTCACACAGCATTATGTACCTACACACAGCAAGTACTCAATAAGTGTTTGTGGACCCAGATGAATTTTTCTACAGCCTCCAAGTGATGACAGGAGGTATGGTACACCTCTTCTTGTGATATATAACTACATTTTTAATGTTTATATTTCTAATGGAGTTGCCCATGCCATATTATACTAAAACACTTATTTACTTTATAATCATAGGCTGAAAACCCACAAATGCCAGAACAATCTCTTCTTATTCAAAACAGTGCATCACTCACCCTTGGCTGCTCCTCTTGGACTTATGTCACAAGTCCCCTTGTGGATTTTGGCATGGTTGAAAAGAGTGCACTTTTTGTTTTATAAATAATCTCTCTTGGTTTATCTAATGGACAGAGGGCTTCCTTAAGAGTTGGGATAACTGTTCTTTGTTTCTGCCACAGGACTGTCAGCCTAGTAGACTCCCTTCCTTCCCTTTGCAATTCCTCATGCTGTGGTTACATCAAATATAACACATATGTCACATGTGCCCTTACATTTTCCCATGTGTACTTTAGCCCTTGAGGCCAGCTAGAATGACAGACCATAGCAGCTGAGCCTCACCCCATTGAGAGGCAAGGGAAAACTTAGGCAGATTCCATTAATAGCCCTGTGCCTGTGACTGTCACATCCCTCCCAGGAAGCACCAGCAATGCCCACTTCTGAGGTGTGACAAATACACACCACCTTTGCCAGTGTTGATGTCACACTCCCTTCAATCAAGGCAGCCATCTCCTCCTCTCAGGAAATGATGGCTGGGGCTCCTGTGCCAACCTGACATGTCCTTAACAGAGGTCACCAAGAGGTCGAGGCAAGGGGGAAATCAGAATTCTTCACACTTCAAACAGGAATTATGACCACTCTACCCTGAAGCCACCCTCTCCAGCTGGCCATTATCTACAGGAGAGACGTGCACTTAGTCAGAGTTTGTAAGCTCCAGAGCCAAAGGACAATATCCTCAGGGTCCAATTTATCTAGCCCAGACAGGTGTTTGCACATGTGTGTGTGCTCGTGCTCACGCTCTTGCAAAACCTGCATGGTTAAAAATGATCATTTCCCATCTTAAAGGAAATACAACAGGAAGTTTCTATCCTCTGTCAACAGTTTTATGCACATCCTCGTTACTGTCTATGCTTTGAAATTGGCTGCAGCTGTTGTTCTCATCTCCCTTCACATCTGTGTGACACCCGTTTTCTCTATCATCTGTCCAGAGCTTAGAGCTTTAAGGTGAGCTCCATCCTCAAGAGTGCACATTTTATGGCCAAGATCAAGCCATACACAAGTCTACAGCATTAGAATTGTCAGATTAGGCTCATGAGATCCCAGAGATATGAATGGTCTTGAGTGGTAAATACAATTGTCAATAATACTTTCTAAGAGCCTACAATGGAAATTGAGCATTTGGTCCACAGTTTTCCAGACTTTCTGTCCTCACCCAGTCCTTCCAGACACAAACCTGTTAAATGGGCCACACACCTCGGCTCTTCTTTTTCAGAGGGTTGACCGGGGTGGTCTGCATCATAGAGAGACAAAAGACATGTGAAAATTATGATGATGGGTGCCAACCACTATCTTGATTGGGACTCTAAATCCCACTATTTAAATATGTGATTTTCAGAGCATAGGGGGAAATATTCTAGTACAGACTTATCAAGAAATTCTAAACTGTGGGACTCATGAGAGTCTGTAATTCAAAAACAGTTTAAAAAGACAAGACAGGTAAATACAGATGAATACATAAATTATATTATGATAAAATAGCCATTTCATTTACTCCATTTAGAACTTGCCTTGACCCCTTTATTGTCCCAATTATAACTGGCAATAAGACATTAGTAACTGACTGACTTTAACGGTGGATGCAATGGGCACCTTGGGCTGACTGTAAATCCCTGGTCTGTACACCCTGATTCTGCTGACCTGTAGACTACTGATTCATCTCCTGGGCACCAATCTACAATCTATTTCCAAGGTGATAATATTAAGACCTCCTCATCTATCACGAGGTTGTCCACAATTTTACTCCATCATGTAGCCTTAGCCAGAGTTCCTCTACATGGTATCAGTCTTACTCCCTCTATTCCATCCCATCAAACACTTGCACACAGCATGGGTTCTATGAACTGATTATGCCCCCTTCTTCCCTGCTCCTGGGCTTTTGCTCATTCTGTCCAGAACGCCCTCCAAATGAGATCTCTGAGTTAAATTCCTGTCAATTATCTAGTGACCATCTTACACTCCTCTTCCTTTGGGAAACCCTTCCACACTTTTTGTCAAATATGGCCCTTCACCCTTCAAAGCCTAAGACCCTTCTGTCTTTGCCTCTCTTGATAGTTATGGCTCCTCCCTCCTAGGGCAACTATAAAAACTGCCTTTACTTCCTTCTTGTCCAGGAAAATAGCAGCTCTCTGGAATAATCACTTTATGATCTAAACTAGTACTAACATTGCTGGACTTTGGGATCCTGGCTACCAAGTCTTTCCCTAATGCCATTTTACTATATAGTTAAGTAACAAGAGCATTTAGCCTTGTTTAGCATAGTATCAGTAAATTAAATTGAAGTCATTAAAACTGACAATATCTTTTTGAATAAATGCTATTTCTCTGACTTCAAATACCTCAGTTAAGGTAAAAATATAGTACTGGGCTTCATGAATTCAGCTAACTAACACATTAAAAAAAACACTTATAGGAGGGTGCTTGTCCACCTTAGATTTGGGACTAGACTATAAAACACACACAGGGTGTGAAAATATACCTGTTTACTGAGAATATTATCTAAAGAATTGTGACCTCTCTAGCACCTAGAACAACCCTTCTTGAAGGAAGTGTGAGGGAAAGGATAGGCAAGACTGGACCTCTTACACACCACAAACCACCGGAGTAGATGACCTGGCATTCTGCCATGCACTAACAGGAAATGGAGCAGAGAACCACATGTTGCTTAGATTTATATTTCTCATAGAGCCTAGTACAATGCTATTCTCATAAAATATACTCTTATAAATGTCTGCTGGACAGGTCCTAGAAATATCTAGAAATATGAGGAAAGTCTTTTTCCTGCCCCAGGCTCTTTGCATGTGCAATGTGGAATGTCCTTCCTCCTCCATGACCCATACATCAACTCTTCTTTTTGAGAGGCTTCTGATAGCTTCCATGTGCATCAGCATAGACAACCCTATAAAGGATTTCCAGACCACTCTACTTTGGATCACTCTTAATACTATTTGGAATTGTATTGTTGACTTGTTTTTGTTCATCTTCTCCACTGTGTTATAAGATACATGAGAGCACTCCTCCATCTTTATCTCTCTCATTCTCAAACACCAACCAAGACTCAGCCTCAGCCACAGAAGGTTCTCTAGAAACCTTGTATATAAATAAAACATCCAATTAGTTAACCATGGAGAAGATAGAAGCATAAGAATTAATAGGCCTGATTAGATGGCTGGGGAGCTTGCTGCTAAGCCTGAGGACTGAATTTGATCTCTCAAACCCACTGGTAAAAGGAGAGAACCAATCCCCACAAGTTGTTTCCTGACCTCCACACACAAGCTGTGGCAATACATATGCACATGTGTATGTAAACACGCAATAAGATTATTAAATTGTTTGAAAAAGTATTTTAAATGGAAGAAAGAAATCTATGATAACTATAGTGTCTTCCAGAAAAAAAACAATCACTTTCTATATTCATTTGTTTTTTTCTTAGAAGTTAAAAACATGCATACATATTTCATAATGAGTATTAAACTAAAAAGAGCCTTTGATAACTTGACTATTTACCTAACAATGTAAAGTGCACAATATTTATGACATTAAAAGTCCTAGGTGGTTCTACTAGATGTTTTTGTGCCATTCATAATGGTGTATTATTCATGTGCCACAGTGTATTCAACTCATCTCCTATTCTGAAGGTTAGGTTTCTTCCAAATTGTTTTATAAGAAACTGATGAATAGGACTGGAGAGATGGCTCAGAGGTTAAGAGCACTGGCTGCTCTTCCAGAGGTCCTAAGTTCAATTCCCAGCACCCACATGGCAGTTCACAACTGTCTGTAGCTCCAATTCCAGGGGATCCGGCACCCTCACATAGACATGCATGCAAAACACCAATGGATATAAAATATAAATAAATAAATCTTTTTTAAAAAATAAAAAGCCAGGTGGTGGTGGTTCACACCTTAAAGAAGGAAAGAAGGAAGGAGGGAGGAGGGAGGGAAGGAAAGAAAGGAAAGAGAGAAAAAAGAGAGAAAGAGATGAACACTATATATGTAAATTATTTTATCTATCTCCAACTATTTTCCTAAGAGAATCTTTTAGTGTTGAGATTACAAAGCAGACTAACAGTTCAAGCCCTTGGAATGAACTTTCCTATGTTCTTCATGGTACTTACAACAATTTCCATGCATGCTGGAGGAAACTTGTGCCAGATATGACCTTTTTTTCTCACACATATTTGTAATTTGTTTTCTTATTTTTGTGAATTTGAAGGAAGAAATAAATACCCCTTTCCTTAAGTCAGCCCCTCTTAATAGCAAAGTGATAATTTTAACTTTCTTGTGACAGTTTATCAGTTTCTGGCCATCTACATTGATATAAAGAAGATAACTACTGGGGTAGGTAGACCTGACTCATTTGTCCACTTGACTTTTATTCACAAAAATGACTCCATGGAGTGGGTGACAGGGAGTGATTAACACCTATACACAAGCCTCGTTCCACTGATTTTCAAAGTGATTTTACTTTAAAAACCCTGAGAGGTTTCACTTTTCTAGCAAGTTATTTCCACTGTCCCTGTGTAATCTGGGCTTTCTGGTGCTTAGAGACTTGAACACTGAGCTGAAAACCAGAGCACACCATGGTGGCCCTTACAAGAGCTTATATTCTCAGGCAGGAGCTGACTGCTCACTTTCTGAGTATGGAGCCCACTCTCCTTAATGGATGGCCACTGTTGTCTGTTGCCTTTCAACTTTCTTCAAAGTTTGTAGGATAAAACTGCCCTGTTGCTTTTGCAAAGGCAACTGCTTTGCATCATTTCAGGGCCATTATTGAGAGGTGGGAGTTTCTCTGTGAATCAGAAACAAGGCATAAGGGGACTGTTTTCCTGTACCCAGCTTCATACCAGAAGACATGGGCATTGAACCTAATTGGTATAGTATTTTGTATCTCTCCTGGAAAATGGAAAATAGATCACTTTCTCCCTAAGTTCCTTTCCAATTCAAAAGAAATATAAAGCTTTGTGAACATGAGTCCAAGACATATAAAAACAGATCCTCATATCTCTGTTCAATCCCTAAAAACCATGCCCTGAGATTTTATGTTCAAACTGATCATCTTCCTCTTAGCCTGGATCTAGTGTGTGTGTGTGTGTGTGTGTGTGTGTGTGTGTGTGTGTGTGTGTGTATGTGTGTGGTGTTTTTATCATCAAACTCATCAAAGGCATCTTAAGTCCTCTGTGGGGAAGGTGTACAGTCCTGTGGACAATGGCTAAAGTCTTCCCAAAATACCTAACAATTTCAGAAGAAAACATTAAGGAAAACAATGGGTTTACTTAAAATTTATTTAAAATATCTTACAAGATATTTTAAAAATACATCTTCATTCTTGAGTAGTCACTTTTAGTTTAAAAGGAGGAGAGGACATCTCCAGAAACATTTGTGTCTGCCTCTACTCCCTTTCTGTCTTGAGGAGTCACAGCCACCCATGTGAGATGGGACCAAGATACCCAGGGAAGGGGCAAAAGGAAAAGTCCAGGGCTGTTTGTATGTCTCCTTCAAAAGTCAAGCCCAAGTTCATTTGAGTTATATGCAGTGTTCATTCAGATACATGGCTATTGAGCAATAAACTTCATCCAATTTTTTTTGTAGTTCACGGAACCGGACTGAATGCAGAGTCTAAGTTCCCCAGGATCTTGCAAAGGAATTGTAAGCCTAAGAAAGGGGAGACTCCCAGGCATCCTTCCAACTCTGTTCAGTGTTGAGGACCACTTTGGGGAATTCAAAAGACATACATAAAAGTACTTACATATTTGCTTTTCAAAAGATGATACTTTAAGGCTTTGGTTGGTGAGCTGATAAAAGAGAAAGATTCATACAATAAATGTGGAGCTATTTAAGCCAAGCTGTCAGAAAAATCCCATCAGTCCCTAGAAAAAGAACTCAGATACTTCAGATCCTGGCCCAACTTAGATGTGAGCCACACAATGGTATCTGGAGTAGTACTAAGAATTCCAAATCTTTTCAAACAGATTTAGTCTATACTTCCAATCAAGATCCAAAATTGATTTTTTTCCTTGAATCACTAAATATGAAGCTATAAGAAGTTTATGGCATTCTTGACAACGGAGAAAGGAATAATTATTTGCCTCAGATCTCTAAATGATGGAAAATATTCCCCTTGACCAGTGGTTGTCAACCTTCCTAATGCTGTGAACTTTTAATACAGTTCCTCATGTTGTGGTGATCCCCAGCCATAAAATTATTTCATTGTTACTTGATAGTGCAATTTTGATAGTGTTATGAACAATAATGCAAATATCTAATATCCAGGAAAACCCTGTGAAAGAGTCATTCAACTACCCGGAGGGGTCGTGACCATATGGCCCACATGTTGAGAACCACTGTCTTTGAGGGAGTGAGCATGTCTCTCCAACTGTGGAATAGAAATACTATACCAACCCTTTCCTAAAACGCAGGGGATTAAAATTATCTTTACCGTTAAAACAAACAAACAAAAAACGCAAATCATTGCAAGCAATACAGTGGCCCACATGCAGCAGAGTCATGTTGCACCCAGGGACTTGGGGCCTTATTGATCCCTATGCCAGGCTTACCTCACGGAGTTCTGCCAGTTCCTTCTGCAGATGGAAGAGCTGATACATTCCTAACCCCAGTCCAACCAAAGCCGCCACAACCATGAAAAATATCACCGGTAGCCATTGATCTATGCTGTGGTCCTTCCTCTTCTTCAGAGGTGGCATTGGCGGCAGTGGGGGTGGTGGTGATGGTGGTGGTTGTGACGGAGGTGGTATCGGTGGTGGAGGAGGTGGTGGTCTCCTTTGGTCCGGCCTTCCAGGCACAGAGGATGGACAGGGAAAAACTGACCCTGGAGGAGCCCAAGAAGAAGTGGCACTGTTGTCCACCCAATAAATTTGGGGACATCCATAATTCACAGGCTGTTGCATGACACCCTGCCCTGGGAAAGGGTTTTCTTCTCTCAATCTTGCAGAGACTCTTGAAATGTGGAGAACAGGACTCCTGACGCTGACTGTTCCAGAGAAGATAAGTGAGTGCGTTCTCTTTTATAAAGTTTCCACAGTCAAGGGAAACACCCCTCTCTCTTTGCTTCTCTGTGAGACACCCACTCACTTTGCATCTGAAGCTCAAAAGCCTCAAAAAGCTCTCAGCGACCCCAGGAAGTTTCCGCCCACAAATTTCTGACGAAAGTCTTCGAAATGCAATTGGCGTTTCTATGCTGCCTGAGGTGGCTGAGAAGTGCCTGAGGTCCGGATTCTCCTTGAGAACATGAGCTGTTCTCTAGCTGCAAGAAATGAACTGTGTGGCATTTTGGAGCTGATGCTCAGAGGAAAAACCATGGAGTTCGGCTACAGAAGCTATCTCCACATCTTAGCTTTTGCATGGGGAATTTAATCCCCTGTTGCTGTTCCTTCCCTCAACCGAGTACTACCTACCACCATAGCCTTGCAGGTCACCATCATTTCATAGTTCAGAAGGTAAAACCTGCCTCACCCATTCCCACAGATTAGATCAGAGGTTGCAAACCACGGGCCCATGTGTCTTGTAGTACCACAAAGACTGCTTTCCTATCAGCAGTGTCTTTTCTTCCATTAATTGCTCACTTTCAAACTACATACCTCTATTCTCTTTGAAAACAGTGGAATATTAGGCATCCCTGGCCATCTCTGAACGCCAGTTGGCTGCCACCAGGAATGTGCCTCAGGTGGTCCACGCTGCCCCACTGTGCCTCCTATCCCACTTCCCCTGAGAAGTGGCTTTCCAAGCCTCTGTAATCATCTATCATTGCAATCCCTGTTATGGTCACCAGATGAAACTTCAGGTGCCCAATTCAGAAGAGACTGGGATAAACAACAAATAATTTTTATGGCATATGGGCTTTAACCGTCACACAGAACATGCTAAAACTTTATTCAGCAATTACAGCAAAATCAGCTATATATCTTATGACTTTCTAAAACTGCCTGCCCTGCCTGGGTTGACTTCACTCTGGCCACACACACAGCATTATGTCTAATAAGTTCTAAGAACTCAGCCTCTGTTTCCAGCGTTTTCCCATATAAGCCATATAAATTCCAGAAATTCCTATATTCTGTCTTTCGGGGCAAGCTCTATGTCTTAAATATTCATAGTTTTTGTCTCATATTTGGGGATTTTTGAGATGATCACCTGACTTTCTCCTTTATGCCAAACCTATACCTAAAGTGTCATTATCCTGCTGCTGTCACCCTGTCTCACCCCAGCTGCAAATCCAACCTCTTTCTCTGCTGGCAATCTCATGATTCCAGTCATCCATGCCTGCCTTATTTTTTTTTCACCTCACTCACTATTCCCATGACTGTTGGCCCTGGTTGGTCTCTCCTTGCTTTCCTACCTGAGACTCCCAGTGTTCTTTGATAATCGTCATTCTGTCCTTCCATGTCTCTCTTTGCCCTTCTTCTTTTAATTCATTTTTTTTTTTTTGATAGAGGAATCAGAAGCCAGGTCTTCCTAACCCCTACTGCCCTCCAATCACAGGGAGAGGAGAGGAGTCCCTTGATGAAAGAGACAAGAGAACTTCAGGAAACTGGTTTGGAATTTGGTGGTTCAATCCAGCATTCCCCCAGGCAAGATGGAGAAAGAAGAAACACCTCTGTGAACAGTCACAAGACCCATCACATTGGTACCAAAGCCTTATTTTTTTGGGGGGGTGGTTTTTGAGACAGGGTTTCTCTGTGTAGCTTTGGAGCCTATCCTAGCACTTGTTCTGGAGACCAGGCTGGCCTCGAACTCACAGAGATCTGCTTGCCTCTGCCTCCCGAGTGCTGGGATTAAAGGTGTGCGCCACCAACACCCGGCGGGTACCAAAGCCTTATTAATGAAAAGAAATCGTCATTTGAAGTAGAACTTAGCACTGTGGCTGCTGAAGGAAAAACTAATCAAGAACCGCCAGGCTGGAACCTCAAGCTGATTGACTTCTCTCAGTCTCCTACTGTTACTATCCCAGGGAATCTGCAGGAAAGTTGACTCAGTAGACTACAGACCAGAGCTCTGGAGGTGACTCAGCAGGGGGATGCACAGTCAGAAAACCTGCTGTTACTTTTTTTAACTAGCCCAGAGAAACCCTCCAAGGCAATCTGCCAAGTAGACAGGAAGATTGCAAATGTAAGCAAAGACCATAGTACACTCCAAGTTTGAGTTTATTTGTGAGCGTGAGCCTACTAGGTCAAGTTCTCTAAGTATTTCCAGGATGCTCATTTGGCAGCTCAATCCCCTGACACCACCAGCAGTTACAAGGACCATCCTAGCCTGGGCTTTGCTCTCTGCTCTGTAGCATCCACCTTTATAATTTTTGCCAAGCATATTATGCCTATGAAGATAATCTCACCATCTACTACTTGCCTTCTCTCTGGTTCCTTATGAGTTTGAACATCAGCTGTATATTTGTTGGGCAATCCATTTTCTTGTTATGTGCATATTCTGTTTGCCAATTAAAAGTTGTTTATCTCCTCCATCTGATTTGCAGGATTTTCTTATACTTTATGGATATTTTAGATGTAAAGCCATGGCTGCTTTCAGATATTGCAAATGTCTTCTCCCAAATGCATGCAGATTGCACATTTGGGTTTTAATACACACTTTTGCTTATGAGTCAGGAGTCTATATTTTTGTCTATGTGTTTATGTGACAAAAAGAGAAATCTATTTAAAAGACAAAGTTTGATTTGGCTCATGGTTGGGAGCCATGCTGCACAGTTTCAGACCAGTATATGAGTGCTTGTCCATATGGGGTCTCCAGATGAGGCAAAAGCCCACCGGGACAGTTGCACTCAGCAAGGACTGGTGGAGTTTTGGACAGTGCAGAATTCTGCTGAGACCACGTGGCCTGAACACTCTCTTCTCATACAATGATTGATGATTCTTTTGGTGGTTTTAGTGTCATTTTGTCAATCATGCATTTGACAGATGTGAACATTCCTAGAAAACCCATTTTTTTCTTGAGTATCTTCCCCTAAAATTCTCAAGTTTGGGGATGCCAGCTGTCACTTCACATCCCAGGAGCTATCCTAATTCGGTGCTGATAGGATCAGAGGTAGGTTACCCCTATTTCAGTAAATATGCTTATATCACCCCTATTTCTGTAAATATGCTTTGAACGGGATTGTTGATCTTGAAAATGTGTGCCTATGTCAATCACCTTTTAGTTTTGTAAAGGCCGGATATACTTGGCTGGATATTTGGCGAAGCTAACAAAATGATAAGTGTTGTTTTGGTTTAAAGATGTTTTGATGTAAAAGCTGGGAGAAAACATATTTCTTTTTGCTGGAGCTGGAGGATGGGAAAAGCTTGTTTGTTAGTATGGAAAAACATGCTTTTTTATGTATAAAGATGGTTGGAGTTACATGGACAGGCCACTTGTGTAAAATTCTCCCGGCTGCCAGACATTTCATTTCTTCATGCCAACGCCCCTTTCCCATCTCAAGACCTGAGCCAGCTGCGACTGGATCAAGGCAGTTCATGACTTCAGTGTGTTCAGTAGATGGGTAGCAGGGGTGAACGTCATGGCAGGGAGCTTGTTGTATAACAAAGCTGATCATCTCATGGTGGCCAACCAGCACAGGGCTTGCTTTTTATAACAAAGCTCTTCCCCATGGTTATTCAGTTCATGAGATCAGAATTGTAATGATCAAATCACCTGGCCCCTAGAGGGCCCCTTGCATTTTAGATCAAGCCTCCAAATACATGAGCCCTGAGAAGACATTTCAGATTCAAACCAGGGGCTGGAAAGATGGCTCAGAAGTTAAGAGCACTTCCCAGCCCCTATGTTAGGCACCCCACAACTACCTGCAACTCGACAGGATCCAGTGTCCTCTTCTGGCCTCAGGTACCTGCACTTACATGTACACACCCACATATGAGGCACACATGCTTACACACAATTAAAAGTTATAGAAGTGTTAAAAATGCAAATCTTGTACAGTTTCCTCAACTCAAGCCATCTTTTTTTCTACTGAATCACAGTGGCATAGTTATCACAGTTTCCACTGATGATTGATCCATCTTAGAGTTCTCAGTTTTGTTTGGTCTATCTATCTATCCTGGTAAGAAAATAACATAGTCCTCTTAGTCATAGCATTGTAGATATGTTTTTTTTTTCTTTATAGAGACAAGCAGATTTCCAGTGTGGTATGTACCCAGGCTGGCCTCCTACTGGCAGTTCTCCTACCTCCTTTTCTTAAATTATGGAATTACAGAGGTTCACCAACATGCCCACCAACTTTGTAAAGGTCTTAAATGTATTGGCACTTGTTTAGGCAAAATTTCTTTCCTCTTTGTTCTTTTTAAGAAATTGCATGAGGGTAGGAGAGAGGGTGCTGCCACAATAAGAGCACAAGAAGAGGAGGAGAGGAGAAGAAATGGAGGAGCAGAGATATTGAGTAGAGGGAAGAATAGAGAAGAGAGAGCAGGATGAGAGATACCATATTAGAGGGAGCCACTATATGTCTGAAGAGATCTGGAACCAGGGAGATCTCCAGAGACCTACAAGGATGACATGATCTGACAATCCAGGCAATGGAAGAGAGGGTAACCTAAAAGCCCTTCCCCTAAAATGAGATTGATGACTACTCTTTATGCCATCCTAGGGCCCTCATCCAGTGGCTGATGGAAGCAGAGACAGATATCCACAGATATACACTGAGCTGAAATCTGGAATTTAGTTGAAGAGAGGGAGGAATGAAGATCGAATGGGTCTGTACCAGGTTGGAGAAACCCACAGAAACAGTTGACCTGAACAAGGGAAAGCATATCGACCCCAGATGCTTTCTGGGAGACCAGTACAAGACTGATCCAGCCCCCTGAACATGGATGTCAATAAGGAGGCCTCTGCACTCCAGGGAGCCTCTGGAAGTAGATTAGCATTTTTCCCTGGTGTAAGAAGGGACTTTGAG